ACTTTCCCATCCATCTGTGTCTCCCCTCTGCTCTCCTGGATATAACCACCTGGCCTTCTTTCACCACTTGGAAGACCAAGCCCATTTGCTACTTCCTCCTCCTATGAGCTTTTCACCTGTCCTGCTTGTCTGGAGCCTCTCGCCCTTGTAGTCTCAGTTTAAATTATTTTTCCTTATTGAGGCCTTCCCCTATTATCAATTCTCCATTGTTGTCTCTCCCAGGACAATAGTCTTAGCACTTTCACAATTTGTGATTTTATATTTATGCTTATTTGGTGAGTGCTCTGTTAAAGTGTAAATTCTATGAAGATAGTATGTAGTTTGCATCTCAACCCAGTATGAACCTTTTTATGGTTTTGAAGTGGCATCCCCCCAAAACTCATGTGAAATAATGTAAGAAGTTTTAGAGGAGAAATCATTGGGTTATAGCCTTAACCTAATCAGTGGATTAATCCCTGATGGGGTGAACTGAGTGGTGGCCAGAGGCAGGTGGGATGGGTCTGGAGGAGGCTGTTCAGTAGCTATGTGGTGTGTATTTTGTATTGGGGAGTGGAGTCTCTCTCTGCTTCCTGATCACCAAGTGAGCTGCTTCCCACTGCCACACTCTTCCACCACGATGTTCCTCCTCACCTCCAGCCCCAAGGAAAGGCACCTGCTGTCTATGGATTGAGACTTCTGAAACCATGAGCCCCCAAGTAAACTTTTCCTCCTCTAAAATTGTTCTGGTTAGTTCCTTTAATCACAGTGGTCAAGAAGTTGACCAAAACAAACCTATACCCAGTGCCTCTGACTTTCTGACACATAGAAGATGCCTAATCAATATTTTTAAATGAATAAATGAAAGGAAGAAGAAAGAAAAGAAAAGAGGGAGGGAGGAAGGAAACAAAAAGAAGGAGGGAAAAAGGGAGGGAAAGTGTTCTGTGACGCTGTTTTATATAACCTCTCTAGAAACCAACAGGGGCAGGAGTTTTAAGCATATTTATAATTCATGAAAATCTGAATTTACATAAAGAATATGTTGAAAGGTGATTTTTCTACTTTACCAGAAGATCTATCATAAGATTCTATAAACAGGCTACCCAGGTACATGTAAAATAAGATTTTATTGATTGAAACCATATGTTTGCACAGAGTTTTTCAGGAAAATATCTTTTATATAAAGCAAGGTTGACCTATAAGCAATTTCCTTAAGGCACCTCCCCCAGAGTGGTCAACCCTCAAATGTCTGAGGTAATAGATAATGGGAGGCATGGAATGCAGGGGATATTGGAAACCCTGGAGGGCAGAGCTGTAATTGTAGCCATTCAGGGTCCCCATAACTTTTCTCCCAAAAATAGCTAATGGGGAGATGAACCCCAAGTCTCTTTTCTTTATTTCAGGGAGGTGAGGATGGCTGTGGTGTGGCCCCCAAAAGGGTTGCTAAGAAAGGAGAACAAAGGCTGGTAAAAGGAAGCAAACTGGTTCTTTCCTCTGATGCCCCTAACTGCCACTCCCCACTACTACCCCATGACAAAGTCCTCTGACTGCAAAATTGGAGAAACACGTCAGTACACTCAGAAATAGATCCCAGTTAGCTTCTCTAGGTCTCTCCTCATATTAACAGAGTGGGCAATCCTTTTGAAAATTTATTTCATGATTCTGTTCTTAAATCTACCTAAGGTTTACGAAATAAGGTAACTGGTAGCCATTCTCTTCAACAAAATAAATTTTACAGCAATTTCTGCCCTTATTAATTGAAAATTTAATGAAAGGTCATGAACTTTAAATCAAAACATTTATAATATTTTTGAAAGTTGTTGACTTATTGATGGTTCTTTTTTTAAAAAATATTTTGTTGAGGATTTTTTGGTTTATTTTATTTATTTATTTTTTAAGAGAGAGAGAGCAGAGAGAGAATTTTTTAATATTTATTTTTTAGTTTTCGGTGGACACAACATCTGTATTTTATTTGTATGTGGTGCTGAGGATCGAACCCAGCGCCCCCCCCATGCCAGGCGAGCGCGCTACCTCTTGAGCCACATCCCCAGCCCAACTTATTGATGGTTCTTGCTAGATTAAAAAAAAGAAAGAAAGAAAAGAAAACCCATACTTGTAGAATCAACTTAAAACTAATATTTTATTCCTTTCTCCCCCTGCCCCCCCCCCTTTGGTACTGGGGATTGAAATCCAGGGGCGCTTACCATTGTGCCACATTCCCAGCCCATTTATATATATATATATATATATATATATATATATATTTATTTTTTAGTTGTGGGTGGACACACAATATCTTTATTTCATTTTTCTTTTTAATGAGGTGCTGAGGAGCGAACCCAGTGTCTCATGTGTGCTAGGCAAGCACTCTACCACTAAGCTACAACCCCAGCCCCCAATTTCGGAGACATCAGAGGAAAGAATCAGTTTGCTTCCTTTTACCAGCTTTGCTCTCTGGGATTACAGGTGTGTGTCACCATGCTTGGCTAAAACTAATATTTTCTTTATCAAACACATTTCACTATGGTGGAGGCATGGCAAGCTATTTTTGAACTGCAGTAAAAGTGAAATATCTTAGGTGCCAGAAGGAAAAACTGTTTATGGGACATGGCAATAAGGATCAATGTAGAGTATGAATAGGCAAATTTTACCCTTCAAAAACAACGCTACTTGTATCTCAAAAAACACAAACCTCCAAATTTAGAGTAAAATATACAGGACATGGAGTATCCTGATATCTATAGCTTTGGTATCATTTTTGCCCTCATCAACACTCTGAGGCATTATTTCTACCCTGACTCCCCACAATTTTGAATTTTTATCCAAATATTATTATATTCAATGGCATTTGAGAGAATTATTTATCTAAGCGATGTACTATAGTACTAATTTCTCCCATAAATGTATTTAGAGTAAAAATGGTGTTCCCTAAGACTCTTCTGCATGAGTCTGGAAAGCTACAGGATGTGTTTGTGCAAAGATTTAGTTATCGCCTGCTTTGTAGGCTCAGGAGTGGTCTTTAATGTATCAGCAGATCTGAATGTACTTGAAAGCTTACACTCTTATAGATATATATCTTTGGTCTTTATTTTCCCTCTGTTCCCTAGTTACTTCTATAAATAATATCAGGTTGTTGCTTTTGTGAAATGAAACAAAAAAAAATGGATTCAGAAAGAGAGGCAAAAAAAAAAAAAGAAAGTAAGAAAAGAAAAGAAAGAGGAGGTAAAAAGATGCCTGAGGACTTAGAGATCATAGGGTGAAGTCAGAGCTGATAGTTGGTGAAGTGGGTTCCAAGGCTACACTGAATCTAGCAGAAGAACTGCAGTAGAAGTAGAGGTAGGTGGAAGGAAAATTCATGAGAGAGAACTTGCTAACTTAAATTGCAAATTGAGAAACAGGCAAAAGAGTCAAGACCAGGAGAGACTTCTAGGGAGAGCAGGATGTAATCTGTACTGGGATAACAGCAGGATTATGAATATTAGCAATGGCATCTTCCAGGTGTGATGCTCAGGGTTATCAGTTAACCAACAACCTCTGCTATGACTCAAGCACATTCCAGAAAGATACAAATATCTGTCTACTTTTATTAGGATTCCAAAGAAGACAGAAACAGATAGTTTCGTGATTCTTCTATTATTCTGGTTAGAGTATAGCACTTTCTTTAAAATGTATGTTAGATTCTCATGTAAAGAGATTCTAATGTCCTATGTATGTATCAGAAGGAGGTGGGGAGTAAGGTTAGCCCAGACACTTCTAATTTTAAAATCTCCCAGGAGAGAGAGAGGAGAGAGAGAGAGGGAGAGAGAGAGAGAGAGAGAGAGAGAGAGAGAGAGAGAGAGAGAGAGAGAGAGAGAAGTAGATAGTGAGAAAAGAAGATATAGATAGATAAACAGAAGTACAAGGATAGGTAGATAGATGATAGATGATAGATAGATAGATAGATAGATAGATAGATAGATAGATAGATACATGTAAACAGGAAGGAAGAGATAGATGGGAGAACAGATGGACAGGTGTATAGATAGGGCTAGAGCTATATATGTACAGATACACAGAGTTAAAATCTGTTCCTATTTAATAAGAAAAAAGAAATAAATGGTGTTTTCACAGGTTTAAAAATCTTCAACTGGAGAAAGTGCATAATTGAGTGATCTCCCCCAACCCTCATTATTAGTAGAGCAATCAGATATTCTCTTTTTTCACGTGTGTTGGTATCAAGACTGTGGGGGATTGCATCTGGAGAAAACATCATCTATTGGGGGAAAATGCCTGTCACATACAAGTGTCTCCTACTAATAATTTAATTGCAGCTTTGTTTTCCATTTCAACTGTGCAGTTTCCATTTTCCTAAACGTGCTGAGAAAACACTGTGTTCTTATAAAGCATCATGATTGCTGCTGTGCACGTTTAACTACCCAGACACCAAGCATACTACCCTGGAGCCCTCTTGGGAAGCCTGGGCTACATTAGAGAGTGAAAGGGGCCCGAAGGAAAGAGGGGCAGGAGGCAATCAAGCTCTAATCCCAGCTCTGTCACAGGCCAGCAGGAGGTCTGGGGGAGCTTCAAAACCCCCCCAGAGCTTTCGGTTCTTCACTGAATTAGGTGTTCAGAGAGGTCCCTTGCTGCCCCCTCATTATATACTCCTGTGAATTTAACCTTAAATGATAATGGCGTTGGTGCTGTAGGGGCCTGTGTAGAAAACGGGTCGATATATAGTCATACATGAACAATAATCACTCCGTTTTTCACTCTATTGAATTAATAGTTCAAAATGATTTCTCTTTTAATCACGTGACACTGCACTTGATGCGTAATAAATATCTGAGTTTAAAAGAAGAAAAAAGAGAGAAAGAGAGGAATCCAGTAACTATATTATTTTTCTGCTTTCACTATTTTGTCTCCATCACATGCAAATTGATCTCATTACAATAAAGAATTATGGCCCAACAAACACATCTCACATATATCTCACATTTGCCACAAAAGCAACTGAATATTGTTAACATCTCCATGTCTCTCACTAGATTTGGAAAGAAGAAAGAAGACAAGGGCGGAAAGGCTGACCAGAAAGGCACTCTGAAGCCCGGGAACCTGAGAGAAGAAGAGCCGGAGAGAATGAAAGAAGAGCGGGAATGGTGAGCAGGAGGGTGGGGCCCTGTTTGGTTGGAGTCTGTGGTCTGTATTTAATTCGGTTATTGAAACAATCCACTCGAGAGATTTTCTTTTCCTTTAAGAAACACACAGGTAGACTCGTATAAAAGAAAACACAGCTGACATAAAACCAACCTGCCTTTCTGGGGAATTTTAATTATATTTTTGAGAAGAAATTAAGTTTGCATTTTTATTACATCAGTACCTATAATTCCATAATCCATTGCTCCCAGTTTTGACTGTATCAATGCCCGTTTTCCTTGTGGTTTAAAAACAATGAACCTGTTTTTGTTTGTTTCTTTCTTTCTTTTTCTTCTTTGAATGCAAAGGTCATGTTGATATTGATATTTATAACCATCAAGTTCCCGTAGTCTGTTCCTAATTTTCATCTGGCTGTTGTACGCCTTCTTAGTTTTACTCTGCTCAATCCGTTTGGATAGTGTAATTTGAGAAATACATGTCCTTCATTTTTCAAAAAAAGCCACTGTCTTTTATTAGGCTATCAGCAAGCTGAAAAGTATGTTGCCCATCTGTTAAAGGGCCGGCTTCATTTGCTGAAATAATGACAGTTTGCAAGGGCTGAATTCTCCTATTTGAGGAGCTTAATGTTCCATTTGGACAAGAGGTCCTTCACATATCTTTGATGTTAACTCTGGCACTTATCCCAAGTGGATGTGTAAATGTCTGATTTTGAAACATGTAATTGAATATTCATATATCTCCTGAAAATTCTTTGCCTTCCCAACTAAATAAAGCTTGGAAAAAAACCGAGATTATGAAAAAGCTAGCATATAATTTTAAGCCTTTGATTCTGACTTCATTATATGGCAGTTAGATTTATTCATCTTTTCACTTGCTTATTAGTTTTCTTGTAGTTTTTAAAGATCGGTTCTTATATTTATCTAATCGGTCTACTATGTGTACTAAGAAAATCACATCTATTTATTGTGTTTTCTAGCACACAGGAATCTAAGAGTATCTACTCTTACCCTTTGACCCCTATCTTGTAGTCTGTTTTCGTGGAGAAGGCCGACTTTATCAATATTGAGGGGGAAAAAGCTATTTAGTTCTTTCTCATTTTTGAGAGGTTGATGAGCTCAGTTCCAGGGTCACCAGAGCAGTTAAAAGGAAATCAAGTGTTTTACATTGTTGTTGACTATCCACCTGACAGAGCCACCCCAAAGACAAGAAATATATTCTCCATCATAGCCCAAGATTCAGTAATCCTGTAATGTAAAATGTAATTCAGGCTCCAATTTTAATGCATGTATTGGCAAAGATATCTGCGTGGTAAGCCTGCATCATAGATCTTTGCTGTTCCCCTGACTTTGCTTTCGTGTCCTGTGTCTCATCTTCAGGAAACTGAGCCCTTTACTAGAATGCAGACTTGACAATTTTTTTGCAGCTCAGTACTTGCTTGAGATGGGGGGCAAAAACCTCTTAGTAGATGGGGAACTGTGTGCCAACTAGAAAATTGATAACCCATAAAATAAGGTGGGTTGTCTTTAAGCAAGAGTTCATTTCCTTTCTGGTTTTGCTTTTAGGAAGCAGGTGCCTGAGGGAGTTTTGTTCTTAAACGCAGGGCTGTAAATTCACCTCAGCTGACTATATAGGCTTCAGGTCCAATTTTCTTAAAATACGTTTGGTCAAAATACTGAAAGAACTATACTATTAGCCCCCACTTAGGCCACTTCCCACAGATGAACACATAAAACACATCTGAAATGGGTTTCCTAGAGACAACATTGTCTCAATCATGTGCTACAGGAAGAAGTTGAAGGAGTTGATTTTATGGTTGGGTGCTATAGAATTAATGACCCAGGACATTTCAACAGGGCCATGGAGGGTGGAGGTGGAGGCTGAACATTTGGCATTGTTCCCAATCCCAGAGTTCTGTTCCTTGGCTCTCCATCATCCATAGGAAAGCAATTCACAACTCTCAAAGAACTCACTGAGTGTATCACTCTTCATGGTATGGTAATGGAAAAATAGAATCAAATAGGAAAGAGTGATAAAAGCTATTATCGCACTTTTTTTTTTCCTAATACATTGGAAAGTGGTTTCCTTGAACAACTCAAGCTATTCTATTGCTTACTTGTTCCATCCCAGTTGTCATAGGTAAAATAATAGTTTATTATTAGCATACTTTTAAAAAATATCTATATATATCTATATATCTATCTATATCTATATCTATATATCTATATCTATATCTATATCTATATAGTGCCAGCCAATTGTTAAACTTCCAAGAGTTTTCTGAACTAGTTGTTAAACCATTGTAGCTTGAAATGGGCCACGGTGGGGATATTTACAACACAGAGATTCGCAAATGCAATAAATAGATCATTATTTCAAAGAGTCAATTTACCAGCATAACCACTGGAGTTCTTTTTAGTGCATAACCAGGAAGAAATTGTTGAACATAGAGACATAAAAATATCCAAATCAAGCCACATGGCTGATTATAGCAGTGTTTCTAAAAATGTGGTCCAGGGACCACCTGTGTCAGATTGGGTCCCTAGAGGAGCTTGTTAAAAATAGAAACTCCTGAGCCCCCATAGCTGATGTGCAGAATCAGAATCTCAGGAGTTGGAGCCCAGGAAACTTTAACGGGTAAACCCAAGGGGACTCCTCAGCATTCTAAAGACTGAGAACCACTGGTTTGGAGGGACAGGATGTAGCCAGAATATTAAAAAAAAACCACTCTTATTTTATGAAAAATTATGTACAGACTTTTTTCCCCTAAGGAAAGCAAGTGACCCAGTCTACAAATATTGTCATCTTTCTTCGTGTTCCCTCTCTAAAGTATCCTACCTCACTGGTGTACTCTTCTATAAACAAGTGAAGAACCCTTGCCACTACTCTCTTACTTAACCAAATATGGGTCATTTTTTCTAGAATCATCTCTCTCTCTCTCTCTCTCTCACACACACACACTCACACACAGACACACACACACACACACACGAGAATATGAGCTGATTAAGAAAATTTTGGAAACGTGTATGTCAGCTTTCCATTTGCTGTGATTAAATGTCTGATTAAAACAATTTAATAGAAAGGTTTATTTTTGTTGAGAGCCACAGCCGAAGGGGCCCCAGCAAACTTTCAGACTGCCAGCTGATGATTGGCTCACAGCACCCCAGCAACTTCTAGCTGATTGGCTCCTCTGTGGTGATGCTCATTGGGCTGTGTCCCCGCCCTTTCAGACTAGGGAGCTGCTCATTGGGGGACTTTTTTTGGCTCCGCCCACACGACCCAGCCAATCGGCCTCAAGAGCAGGAGGAGTGGGGGAGGTTGAGAGGCTTGTGGGAAGCCGGTTGTGGCAGTTGGGCTCTGAGGGTTTTTCCTGAGGAGCTGTTTTGTTTGGCGTGTGTGGTTCTAAAAATAAAGTTAGTTTCTTTTGACAAGTGGCTCCTGAATTGTGCCCAGCCAGACTGCGGCATTTTTGACTCACAACTTCAGGGGTCTCAGTCCATGGTCATTTGTTTGACTCCATTGTTTCTGAGCCTGTGGTAAAGCAGAATGTCATGGTGGGGACCATGTGGTGGAGCAGGGCTGCTCACCTCATGGTGCCAAGAGAGGAAGAGATGGGGGAGTGAGATGGGGGAGTGGAGGGGAATGGGGAAAGAGAGAAGGGGAGCAGAATCCCAATATCCCCTACAAGGGCACACTCCCAGCCCCCTACATCCTCCAACAGGCCTTACCTTCAATACCACCACAAGCTGACAACCAGGCCTTTTCACTCACGGCCTCTGAGGGACAGTTCAGATGCAAACCACAACTTATAAAAAAGTATGAAGACTTTAAATTATAAATAATTCTCATATCATAATCCCATAGTCACTATTAATGTTTTCATGATCCTTTCTCTATGCATATATATCCTTGAAAACTTGATTGCTGTACTATACCCATAATGGCTTGCTTTTTTCTTAGCATTATTTTGCAAATATTTCCCCATGCTATTAATAATTCACAATTATGTCATCTTGCCACTGCCTAATATTCTATGAAATCAACAAATAATAAATTAGTTGTCTCTCACTGTCAAACAACTAATTCATTTATATTTTTCACTGCTTCAAATAATACTTTGATGAGCATCCAGGTTAAAAAAAAAAAGCCTTTATATATGACTTTTTTAAAGTCATACAATTCCTATTGAAGGTTCAATTTTTCTGTAACTGTTTTAACATAGGATTCATCTAAAAACTCCAAATTTTAGGAAATATTATCCTTCTCTACTTTCCCCATCATTTCCTATCTTATTTTAGTTATTCTGCATATCTAATTCCTGATGTGGGACTGTTTTGGTATTATTTGTGAACAGTTTTATTTTGTTTTGTTTTGTAGCTATGCCTAAGAAAAGATCAATGATAGTCCTAACAGGTGGATTGGGTTACTAGCTATTGGAAGTATGCATAGTCTAGAAAGTGATTTTTAATGGGAAAAGATAGTTTTGCCTCCAAGGGATGTTTGGCTATATCTAGAGACATTTTTATTAATTTGTTATTTTTAGATACATGACAGTAGAGTGTGTTTTGACATATTATACATACATGGAGTACGACCCATTCCAATTAGGATCCCATTCTTGTGGTGGTACACAATGTGGAGCTGCACTGGTTGTACGTTCATATATGAGCAAAGGAAAGTTATGTTCTATTCATTCTACTGTCTTTCATATTCCCATCCACCCGCCCTTCCCTTCATTTCCCTTTATCTAATCCAATGAACTTCTATTCTTCCCTCTAGAGACATTTTTGATTGTCGTAAATGCAGGGAGGTGGTGGGACGGGAGTTACTATTGCTTTGTTACTGGGTAGAAGCTCTATACCTCCTACAATAAAATCAGACAGCCCCCAGCCTCCACAATGAATTACCAACCACAAATGTCAATATTACAGAGTGAAGAATCCCCATTCTAATCCCTATACTTAAAAAACTGTAGGGGAACTCTTCCGGATATCAGAATTGC